GAACGTGTCCCGGCTGGGGCGGTGCCCCCCTGTTGGGACATATCTGGTTGGGGAATACCCCGATAGCCGACGGTAGTTCGGCGCCGGATCTCGCCCTCCAGTGGGCGGGGGGAGGTGGGGGGGGGAATGACCTCCACTTCCAGCGATACACATACGGGACTAATGACCGTAGAAGTTGATGGGACTCACGGTACACTAAGTGATTCAGCAATCAACCGATCATTTAACGAAACGCAGCGGCGACGATCATTGAACACCGTACAGCGGCTGTCCCCACCTGCACGGGGGAGGGCGGCGCGGGCTGCTGCTGGACCGCTGGCATCGCCGTCGCCGCCCGCAGCAGGCGCGCGCACTCCTCGTGGCCGCTGTGCGCCGCCAGATGCAGCGGCGTGTAGCCGCGCGCGTCGCGGGCGCTGGCGTCGGCGACGGTGACGGAGCCGCCGTTGGGTGTGTCGGCGTCGCCCATGTGAGCCAGCAGCGCCTGCACGCACGCCGCGTGGCCCTTGGCCGCCGCCAGGTGCAGCGCCGTGCGCTCGCCCACCATGTCCCTGCACACACACCATACGCCCCAGCTTTCGTGACATCGACAGTTCAAATTATATACATTTACGTACACACAAAAAACCGTTCCAGTCATATTCGAACCCATTCGTATTTACCACCCACGTGACATTATTTTATGACATGATTGGTCGACGGTAAAATTATATACATTTTATAAAAAAACATTCCAGTCATATTCGAACCCTCTTGTATTTACCACCCACGTGACATTATTTTGTGACATGATTGGTCGACAGTAAAAATTATATACATTTTGTAAAAAACCGTTCCAGTCATATTCGAACCTCCTTGTATTTACCACCAACAGGACTGAATTGAGAGCTTTTGCTTACAACCGGCACAAGTCGCTTTAAAGAGTGGCATGGCACTCTTTAAATCTTTTAACATTGAATTCCGTCTTGAGAGGGCACGTTAGTTTCGCCTCTATTCCGCCCATTCTTAGATATACAGCAGGAGATTTTCCTTACTGTGGCGGGAGGCCGTGTGGAGATGGACATTAATTGAAGGGACTTTTAACCCTTCAACCCAGAATGTCGGCTTGAGACTTTTGTTTCGCCGACACGTACGTACACGCCAAGTGATATTTTCTGCCTGTATCGGCAAGCTATGTGAAGACGGATGCTAATTTTAGTGACTCGTTAACCCTTGAGTGTGGAATGTCCTCTTGAGACGTTTGTTTCATCTCTATTAGCCGACACTACTATCCAGACGTCGAGGGATTTTCCTGTGTGTGTGTCGGAATGTCGTGTGGGGACGAAGGGACTCCATACATCGGTGGCTACGTGTCCCCACGATGACGCGCATAGCGCATCTCCTTTCAACCATGTCGGAATGACATCGCGCTTACCCTAGGCTCCGTGTTGAAACGGGTTAATAGAGAAGGACTTCTCATTTACACTTCCTAGCTGAGTTAGCTCAGGGCTACAACTGTAGTGACTCTAACCGCGAGGTTCTAGTGTTCCAGTGACGGAATTTTAAACGCTATCTGGATAACTACGTCGAGTTCATTCGCTGCATAGAGAAGAATTCTAGAGGCTGGCTTTTCTAATCGGTAGTTTCCCGTGGCTGCTCCTATTAATACCAGGCGAATGCCGGAGTAGACCCTTTACAAAAGGGCCATGTACCGCGCGCGATCTGTCATTCCTCTTCCTTGTCCTCTCCTCTTCCCTTAAGCAGGCCTTAATGTGCTTTACATTGCGACATATGTCGGGAGGCCGGTCAGGAGCTTAGATTCTGTCTTGACTAGGGCAGTACTCCGGCCGGGGGGAGATACCTGCGGTGGGAAAATCCCCGCATGGCGACGTATAAGTCGGTGACGGATTTCTCGCTCTGGCTGAGAATGAACATCGCAATCTCTCGTGATATAACGCATGACGCATTACACTTTTGGGAACTAACAACCGTAGCCGTAGGCGCGTGCGGAAACCGCAACCAAAATAAAGTGAATGATTGTAACCCGGACTGACCTGCGCATGGGGTCGGCGCCGGCGCGCAGCAGGGCGCGCACGCACGCCTCGTGGCCGGCCTCGGCGGCCCAGTGCAGGGCGGTGCTGCCGCAGCTGTCGGCGCAGTCGACGCGCGCGCCCCAGCCCAGCAGCGCGGCGACGCAGGCCGCGTGGCCGGCGCCGGCCGCCACGTGCAGCGCGGGCCACTCGTCGTCGTCGTCGTCGGCGTCTGGCGCCAGCGCCGCCCCCCACTGCAGCAGCGCCTCCACGCACGCGGCGTGCCCGTCCTCCGCCGCCAGGTGCAGCGCCGTGCGCCCGTGCTTGTTCGTCATCTGGCGCGCGCACGCGTCTTTGATGTTGTGGGGGCAACCACTAGATTCTCCGGGAGACCTCGCGTCCGTGGTACAGGTGCGAACGTTTCGGGCGCCATTCTGTGACTGTCGCATTTTGCCCTGAGGGAGGTCGTAAAATGGTGGCGGAAGCGTTGGCATCTGTGCTTAGAACGCGTCGTCTCCCGGACAGCCTAGTAATTACTGCCTCCAGCCGCAACCATTCTAAGTCATTGCTCAGGGCACAATGTGCATTTTGCTCCGAGGAGAGTCGCAGAATGGCGGCCGAAATTTAGGTACCTGTGCCTAGAATCCGGCGTCACTCGAACAGCTTAGTAGTTACTGACGCAAGTCGCCATCATTCTACGACTTTCCCCAGGGCAAAATACGCATTGCGTTGTGAGGAAGGCCGCAGAGTGGCGTCCGGTACGTTGGCACCCGTAACGAAGACGCGACGTCTACCGGTCAGCCTAGTAGTTACTGACTCCGATCTCGGAAGCCTACGTTCTCATTTAACAACTTCCACATCGCTAATGACAATTCAAATAACCAAATATATCTAAACCAGGACAGGTGACTGCGGGCATCCACTGATGTCACTGCAGTGCCTCTGACAGGGAGGTCCAAGGGTTCCAGTCCCGACGGCAGAATTTTCGACACTAGCCAGATATCTAAGTCGAGTTCTGTCGCTGCCTGGAGAATTCTAGCGACCAATCGCTCTGATCGGTAGCTTTCCGCGGTTTTCCCGATCAACACCAGGCGAATGCCGGAGCAATAGCATAAGAAACGGGCCACGCACCGCGCTGCACTACCACACATGCCGGGAGACCGGTCGGGAGCTTCGAGCTTGTCCTGTCAGGGGCGATGCCCCGCTGGTTGGAGTTACCAGGAGGGGGGAAACCCCTTAATCCGACGGAAGGTCGGCGCCGGATCTCAGCATTCAGCGGGAGATCACCGCTGGGTGGGTGATTACGTATATATGTATCTTGAATATTTTTAAACGACTAGATGGATTGATCCCGAATTTGTCTGGAATACATTTGAACTGTCGAGGATCAAAAGACTAGTTTCTATTCAAAATGTTCCCCAAAATACGTTTACTTTTACAATGTTTTTAATGCAACTCGCTTTTCTTTTATGCAATAAGGCATTGTGTCGAAGATTTTCTCAGGGCGTGGCCGGACGATGAGAGAGGAATCAAGGCAGAGCAGTGAGGACGAGGCACGGCTTGGTTAAATTGGAAATGGGCGTGTTCTAGCAGAACGCGGAAAGTCTGTCGGGGTACGCATTAAATTCTTTCCATAGATCCATTTTAGAGGATTTGAGGAGTGCAGAGTGTGGGGTCGAGGAGAGCTGTGTGGGTTCGACGAGTACGATGTGGGGCATAAGAGTGCAGTGTGGGTTTGAGTGTAGTGTGGGGTCTAGGAGTGAGATATGGGACTGAAGAGCGCTGTGTGGGTTTGAGGGACGCGGTGTAAGACTGAGGAGCGCAGCGTGTTGTGAAGAGCGGTTTATGACGCGTTGTGAGGTGTGGTGGAACGGAGAGCAGTGTACCTCGAGGTCGGGGGCCCACTGCAGCAGCGCGTACAGGCACTCCACGTGCCCGCCCTTGGCCGCGAGATGCAGCGGCGTGCAGCCGGCCTTGGTGACGCAGCCGATGTGCGCGCCCTTGTGCAGCAGCTGGTGCACGCACTCCACATAGCGGTCGGTGGAGACCAAAGTCGAGTGCTGGCTGCGGCAGCGCCGATCGCCCGACAGCGAGCGCAGGTTCAGGCAGTCCGTGTGGCCCTGCGGCGCGAACCAATCACGTGACGACATTGCTCGGGGATGTAAAATGAATCTATTACGAATGGAGAATCCAATTAGATGGAACACTTCCGGGAGACAATCGAAATTTATAATGAGGCATTTTCAGAGGTATGGTCTCACTATGTATGTTTTGTCACTCTCTGCATGTATTTAAAATAAACAGCATTCAGTTTGCCGATGTTTCGAAGTACATACTACGATAATCAGGGATTACTCAGGGATTTTGCAATAACTTGTCTATGTGAAGAAATGTATTCAAAAATGTGCAAAATATACAAGAAGTTGGTTGTGTTTTTCTTAAAAAACAAAAATAATTTTTAAACACAATGCGTTAAAATGCAAACTTAAGCCTAAATTTTCACCTGAATTTGTTTTGGAGTTTCTACTTTACTTTCTGAGATAAGGAAAAACTACGAAATCTGTCAAATTAGAATGAGAGGGATAGGACATTCCAAAGCCCCAAAATAGTTATTTATGATGCAAGTGGGGTAAGTGAGCTTTTATTTTGCGAGTAGAAAATGTTGTGACTCGAGTCCTGTAGACCTAGCAGTGCATTCCTACGAGCAAATTAAAAGCACTTTTACCACGTGTGTCATACACTATTTTTAGACAGTCTTATTGACTTTCTATTCTTTTGTCGTCTTTGTCCTTTTTATCATCTTTGGTTATACAGCAGTGACTCACTTTTAGCATTAGTGATAAAAATTGAACTTTTTGCACGCTAGGTATGCTCTGACTGTGTTGCTTTTAGTAGTGGCTGTCTAAGATAGGAATTTATTTTGAAGAAGACAAAAAATAGTGGTTCCCAAATGTACCCAGTAAGTAAAACTAGGAAAATATTTCGATTCTTCACCTCCTCGACGGCGACGTGCAGCGCGGTGCGTCCGCAGCTGTCCTTGGCGTCCACGTCGGCGCCGCGCTCCAGCAGCACGGCCAGGCACTCCACGTGGCCCTTGTGCGCCGCCACGTACAGCGCCGTGCGCCCGTTCTGCGTCTTGGTGTCGATCTTGGCGCCCGCCTGCGCACACGCACCGCCTGACTCCGCCTGCTGGAGGCCACACTGAGAGGAGCCAACCAGCGCCTCATAGACCCATGGCACACGAGCGTTGCGTTCACGCGCGATAAGTAACGGCCGAAGCGCTCGATTCGCGTAAAAGTCGCCTCCTGGAGGCCACACTGAGAAGAGCCAACCAGCGATTCTATGACCCATGGCACACGAGCGTTGCGTTGACGCGCGATAAGTAACGGCGAAGAGCTCGATTGTCGTAAAATTCGCCTCCTGGAGGCCACTCTGAGTGAGGCCCATGGCACACGAGCGTTGCGTTATCGTGCGATAAGTATGGACCAAAGCGCCCTCGTGTGCCGTTTCGCGTAAAATTCAAGGTTATTAGTCAACGCGCATTATTTCTCGCGTTCCAATGAACGCTCGTGAGCAGGAGCCCTTAGGTTACCAAGAAGGATTGGGGCAGGGGTGCTAATGGCGAGAAAATAAATTGTCCTTCAAATATTCGTTCGTCTTCAATCTAACGTGCAATTGGTCTGTGTCCGTCTCTCTATCCGTCACTCCGCCTGGTAGCGTGCGGACGCGCACCTCGCAAATGTCAGCCCGAGTCTGTCTCCTGGAGGTCACACTGAGAAGAGACAATCAGTGTCTTGTAGGTTGCCATGAAGTATTGGGACAGGGTTGCTAGTGGCGAGAAAAGTAAATTGTCTTTCAAATATTCGTTCGACGTCAATATATCGTTGCAATTGGCCTGTGTCCCAAACACCGTCCGTCTGTTTCTCCGTTCGTCTAACAGGCCACGAATCTCGCGAGTGGCAGCTCGAGACCGAATAAGTGTCTGCCTTCTGGAGGCCACTCTGAGAAGTACCAACCAGCACCTCTTATGTTGCCAATAAAGATTGGAATAGGGATGCTAATCGCGATAAAAATAATTAGTCTTTCAAATATTCGTCTGTTGTCAATAAAACTGTGCAAATAGTTGCGTCCCAAACATCGTCGGTCTTGTTTCTCCGTCCGTCTAACAGGCCGAGCCCGAGTCTATCCTCTAGAGGCCACTTGGAGAAGAGACAACCAGCGCCACTATCAACCCGTCTGTGTGTCTGTCCGCCCGTTTTTTTGGTGGTACGTCGTTAGAAGAGAAAGAACGCAGAGAGGAGACGAATTTGGTGTAACAATCCGGGGTGGCCCTCTACCAGCGCTTTTGGCTTGGCAGTGACAGTGCTCGACATTTATAGGTATTGATGAGGGGCTTGGACCAGCGCAGTGAGCAACATTAATATCATTGCTACCAACCGGGAAAGATTGTAATCTTATGCTGGAGAGAGGGCCCCATCCAGTCTATGGGTAGATGTGCGTATTGCTTTTTCCGCGTTCCGATGAATGTCAGCCCAACGGTGTACTTGTATACCCGCGAAAGGCGAGGAAAGGGAAAGAGCCATTGCTCAGGTGCCCACCGTGCGGGTGTAAGAACTTGCCTGAAGGCCATGTAGGTTCACACTGTCTGTCCATCCCTCTGTTAGTCTGTATACACGCTCCACGCAATTTTGGGTCCGCGGACCGCGAAGTCCAAACGAACGCCTCTTGGTTGACAATAAGATTGATAGCGAAGGTGAGTCTTTTCAGATTGTCCGATTAACAGTGAGGATCGTGGTGGCAAATGAATTTTATCTCGAGCGTTTTGCGATAAAGGGTGATGTCAAAATATAATGTGCAATAAAATAAAGATGTACTTTATATTATGAAACACCTGACGTAACCCGTGAAAAAAGACGGGACTAAATCAAACTTGCGTGATATCGTTGTATCTGGTTGGTATGTTTTGAATAATATTTCTTAATTGTTCTATTTAAGCCTCTTAAACCCATTATTACCTTATGTAATTGTTGCATGCAATTTTGAAACTCATTCAGATCGAACATTATTTTATTCTCTTTCCATCCAAATATTCCAGATTTTGGACACAGTAATACAACTAAAGCTTATGAAGCAGCCTTATATAACTTCGTACTTGGGGATCCTTATATAACTCCGTATAATGTACATAATCGTGATGCCAACAAAGTTCCTAGGTGAACCATTTTAATAGAATTTGATATTCTCAAACTATTAAAATGTACGTCACAAAAACTATCTAATTGTACCCCATGTCGTTCCAATAGCAAAAAATAATATAGTGTTTTGTTAGGTCGACTTTTAATATTATTTTATTGCATTTAGGGTCGTCCTAACCGAGCATATTTTTTGGTAACCTATCCTGAAATAATACGTAATAATATACAAAAAACTCGAAATTTCTGGCTTGCTCTAGTTACTCTAAGTTGATGAAACAATGGTGAAAATACAGGAAATTATAGTATGGGATGATACAATTTTCTGATGATATTTTTTTTAAGATTAGCTTTCATCTCTCTTTTCCTAACTTTTCTCTCAGTTTCTCCATTACTCTACCCATAAGACTCTCTCTTTTTCTCTATATCTGCCTTTGTCAGTATCTGTCTTTGTCTCTATCTGTCCTTGTATCTATGTCTTAGCCTCCATTTGTCTTTCTCTGTACCACGTTCTCTACACGTGTCTGTCCGTCTCTGGTCGTGTCCGTGTGCGCGCGCGGGCGCGCGCCTCACCTCGAGGAAGGCGAGCACGCAGTCGACGTGGCCGCCCTCCACGGCCAGCACGAGCGGCGTGCGCTCGAGGCCGTCGGTGGCGTTGACGTCGGCGCCGCGGAAGAGCAGCTCGCGCACGCACGCCGCGTGGCCGTGCGCCGCCGCCAGGTGCAGGGGCGTGCGCTCGTCCTCAGACGTGCGGCAGCGGATGGCGCTCCCCGCCTGCGCACGCGCGCACGTGTCAATTGCGCTCCTGCTGCCGCCGCCGATGCGTTTTTGATTGTTTATTTGTTTGCTTGTTTTTGTTTTTTTATTGGTTGATTGATTAGTTATTCTGGGCGCATCAACGGTTAATGCCATTGCTCCCGTAAGTGTGGTGCATGTTTTCGTCGGGAGGTGGCGGTAGTCTTCTCCCCTCTATCTTCCGCTGGCGGGATTTCCCTAACCAGGTGTCTCCCACCAGCGGGGCACCGCCCCAGCCGGGACTTCTGGTGCATGTAAGTGTAAGAGTGGGGATAGGACAAGGAAAGATTACGCGCTGTCCGTTCCCTTTTGATAGGATACTTCTCCGGCATTTGCCTGGTGTTGATTGGAGAAACCATGGAAAACTATGTACCGAAGCACCCAGCCTCTAGAATCCTACTTCAGACAGCGCACAGTGTGTAATTTTGGCTATCTAGGCGGACGTAAGTCCATTTTCCAAAGTATTAATATTGATTAGTTTGGGTATTTGTTTGATTATAGAAGGTCCAAAGTATACAAAATGGGTATTGTTCTTATTCTGAGTCGCATGAAGCGGCAGTAGAACAAGTTCAAACACGCACAATCTGGTGCTAGCACCTCACGTCTGTATCAGTTGCATTTCAGTACAGCTCCTGTTGGAGATCAGTGTGCATCCTCTGGAACGTATATCAAGGCAGTGATTAAACATTTGTGTTTTTGAGTATATTGCCTTTTTATTAGTGCCTAAGAATAAGAAAAAAGTGCCTGTGATTGTTCGTAGGTGGCTTTTGAAAAAGTAAGTAATTTTAGTTTTACTTTCGCGCCATTTTACAAATATCTGTTGATTTTTAAATTGAGTTTACAATAGTTGACGTTTGTGACTACATTGTCGTTAAACTTTGCTCTTTTGAGTATTTATATTACAAAAGATCAGCTGCGCATATCTGCGCACTTATGAGCTTTTCATTTTTTTTCACAGTGGGGCACTCAATTTCTGGAAAGACGCTATTTGATGTATGGTGTGTAAGCTCCCCGGAGCCAAGGAATGACGCTGTATTTTCGTACGTGTTACACGAATTAGGTGAAGAAACTATTATTCACATTTCAATAAGGTCCATAAACACTCAAATTAAAATTTTTTGTCAGTTCATTAGCAAAAAATGGAAAAATGTGGGAGGCATAAACAGAGATTTATAGATAATTACACATCATGGCTGCAGGAAGACATCAAATTTTCTATACATTTAATGAAAATTCATCCATGCTCTTCAAAATCTGATGAGCAAGTAGAGGAATTGGTTGTCCACTTAAGCCTTTTGGTTCATGTGGCCCTAAGGCTAAAAGACAGAGAGTAAACCAGCTGTTACGTTCATCCCGAGAAGAATTTGGAGCAGCTACTGAAATAAAATTAAGGAAAGGAGTAAAAAGAGATTCAGCGAATATAGTAAAGAAACTTACACTTTCTTGTTCTAATAGAGGCACGACAATTAAGAAAGTTCGCATCCAATCGTTGCATCAAGAACCATCTTTACTCTCTCCAAATCAAGCACTCGCATTAATGGTGGGTACGCATTTGTCTACTCTGCAATATTTACGAATCCGAAAACAAGCCGAGAAAATAAATTGTAAATTATATCCACCATTCTACAGAGTTAAAGAGGCAAAAACTATGTGTTATCCAAGAAATGTGAAAGTGACAGAAATATCGGCTGAGATACCTTTACAGTCAGTTATTGACCACACAATTCGTCGTTTGTGCCAAATTGAAGACGTCAATTCGTACAACTCAGATAAGAGGAGCTGTAAATAAAGAAACAATGTCTCAAAGGAAGAAAAGCATCCAAGATAAATGCAGGCAGAAGTTAGGGCTACTAGTTGATATGCCTAAAGCGCAGAGTGGCAATACTAATAATGGAAATACTGCTCGAAAGCTCTTCAGAAACCCTGAGATATCTTCAGAAATAACTGGAATAAATCGGGATATAATAAAGCGTTTTGGGGTCATATTAGAATGCCTAAACAGTGGGGAAAAAACAATTTACATAATTTTGAAAAAAATATTAATTGCACACGAGACTTGTACCACCAACTGGTATCGCATGCCCGTAGCTCTACATAAGATTCTCTTCCATGGAAGGGACATAATTGAAAGTTGCATTCTGCCTATTGGACAATTTTTTGAGGAAGCTCAGGAAGCAAGAAATAAGTACAACAGAAAGTTCAGGGAACTGTTTACAAGGAAAACATCAAGAGTAAACACCAACACTGATCTCATTAACAGGCTTCTCATAACATCTGATCCATACTTTGCAAGTTTACAGCGATCTTTGAAACCTAAAAAGAAGAAATACAATGAAAAAAATGATCAATTTGTTGGACATTGATTAACAAGACATTGAAGAAATAGAAGTCATCATCTCATCCGAGGATTCATCGGATGAATACCGATTATATTGTGCTTCGTAATAATTCTTTACCTCTCTAATTCTTAAATTTGTTTTCATTTTAGTTCATCAATATTATTATTCATTTGTTAGTAATTCACAATTATATTATATGAATTAGCTACTTTTATTTATTATATATACACTTTATTTTATTTTCTATTGGCGTTTTTCAATCTCAATTCGTATGATTACAGTAGTTGCCCGATTATTTTATTATTTAAAAAAATAGTTTCCTTTAAAATATTTCAACGAATCTTGTTCCATGTATGAGATTTATCATTTATTTTCAATATATGTTTTGTAGAAAAATGAACAATTCATAGTTTTGTAGATTCTGAATTTATTCCACCTAGATTGCCAAAATTACACACTGTGCAGCGTCTGAATTCGACCTAGCTGTCTGTCCAAAATCTTGCCACCGTCGACACTCGAACCTAGTGAGAAGTACTGCAGTGACATCATTCAATGCCCTGAGCGCCCACTCCCTGACCGTTGCGTTTCGGGAAGGGTGCAAATTATCGGTATACTACTTCTCCCTAAACGTTTGAGGCATACAGAATGTCTCAAAATAATTATCTCAAGCTTCTAAGGCATGGGTTCTCAATGGGGTCGGTATTGACCCCTGGGGGGTCGATTAAATTTTAAAAGGGTGGTGATTGAATAAATGAATCATTTGGGGAGCCGCAGGGCCTCCGTGGCTTCGTGACGTAAAGGCCGGAAATTATCAGACTCAAGTAGAATCCCGGTATTTTGAACTACAGTAATTACTTTCTGTGCACTACAGTATGCATTTTAATTTTTGCTTATTTTTCCCTCTATCCCGAATGTTGTCCCAAATTTGCAGGGTTCGGATAAGCGGGGTTCTACTGTACTACGATCTCCCAAAGTCTATAAGGCACACAGGATTTCTCAAAATAATTATTTCTAACTTCTTGGACAGGGGTTCTCAACGGTGATGGATGATATAGACCACTTGGGGGGTTGATGAAATTTTGAAGTGGGGCAGTGATTGTAGGGAGAGCGCGGTGGCTCAGTGGTAGGGGGCTGCCCGCAATGCAATCGGGCAATTCCCGCATTAGAAACGCCCAGCCGCTTTCTTGATATGCTCGGGGGTACGCAGGTGACCGTACTCAAAGGTGATGCAAGTGACACTCCGGGCTGTATTCATTCTGCACGTCCCCATTTTTGCTTGCGCAGTTAAGAGTATTCCGAAGGAGTGTGCCCGGGCACATCACTTCTGTGGATAAATCCAGTTGCTTAATTTAGAACAAAATCCTCTCGCAGGTGGTATAGATACAATCCATGTTTTGTGGGTCCTTTATACCGAAAAGTCGAATGACAGCAAAACGTCTGTCTGTCCGGCTGTGAACAACGCTAACTTCTAAACCGTTTTTTGACCGACATTTTCAAAATGTTAAAAAAATGGCTCCATCGTTTTTTATTAATTTTTTGGTTGAATAGTGTGAATGACATATAAGAGAATGATGCAAGCCTCATATTCGTTAAAAACTGATTTTTCGCAAATTGCAAAAATTCAAAATTTGTTCGGCGCCTTCCTACTAATATAAGTATGACGATAAGAGATTTCTTTCCTTAATGAAATCTTTTCTTTTAAAAATTTATTTTAAAACAAGGACATGTACAATTTTTCGAAAATTTGAGTACTTTCCGCGTAATTTTGTGCGAAAATACGGTCGAGAAAGTACGTGCTGCTTTAGACCCACTAGTTTACTAGGGTAGAGAAAATTACTGCGTATAGTTATACATATGCAGGTAATTGCGTTTATTAATTTTAAAAGAGCTCGGCCTACAACAACGGAGTTATTATAATTTTTTTCAACAAAAAGGGCCGTTGAGAGGAGGGCTGGGCAGCATTCATAATCAGGTTGCGTCTCTAAAAATGTTCTCTGCAGTGTCGTAAAATATTAATATTTTCAAAAGTGAAAATTAACCAGCAAAAATCGTGTATCTGGCATTGAAACATACTTTGCGTAGGCATTAATATATCTTTTACCAATGGCACCCACTTATTGGCGCATTTTTCAAGTTCTCTTGGGCTGTAAACCTGAGTCCCACGTCTCAAATTGCGGGCCATGTTTTTCGAACCTTCTCAAATTACTCGTTACAAGATGCCCAGCCCGATAAGTCACTCTAAGAAACGATAATTTGAAACCGCAAAGTCGTCATTTCGTCAGATTCCGCCAATGTATACGTAGAAACGCGTGGTGTCCTTGCGTATTAAGTTTCTAGAATGCTCTCTGAGCTCCGCATATCTTTTGTTATACTCTTAATAAATAAAATTGGAGTGTCCGTCTATGATTTCAAAATAACTGCCCTTTTACTTTCTCGCATACTGCTTACCATACGCATAATGCTTACCTTAGAGAAACTATTGTTTTGCTGCGGAAAAATGCGTTATTACGACAGAAACACTCCTTGCACTCCGGGCACTGATAATGAAAAAGTGGATAAATATTGTTCGTGCATGTATGTACGTATGTACTTGGCGCGACAGCCCGTGAACAGGCTGTGGCCTACCGGCGACGTCCCTGCCTCGCGCCCATGAGTTAAGGGGATACGTGTGGTTAGCACGTAGACATCCCCACGTCGTATTCCGGTCTTCTCAACCTGAGAAGTGAATTCTCTCATCATCACACAGCAACATATATTGGGACATTGCAAGGAAAACGCACGCTGTAGTCTGGGCTCGACCGGGAATCGAACACGGGCCGCGAAGTAGAAAACGAGCACGCTGACTAAAACGTACTGAAAAATCGATTGACAGCAAAAATTATATCTGTCCATCCGTAGGCCAGTGCGTCCGTCCGTCTGTCTATCTGCCCGTCCGCGCGTGTGTAGGTGGTGAACGCTAGCTCCTAAACCTCTGACAATTTTTTTCCAAAATTGATATTTTCCGATCGATTTGAACGATTTGGAAGACCTACGAGTTCGAAACGAATGTTTGATTTTTGGGGGTTTCTTTACATGAAGCCTCAACATTTTTGGTTTTTTGTTTCATTATAGTTGAAATTTGTGAAAGTTGTGAAAGTTAACTTTTTTCTTGGTATCTTTCTACAACTATAATGTTCGTGTTAGAGTTTTTTTTCTTATAGAAATCGGTAGTTTAAAGTAAGATTTTGAAGTAAGGTCATGTGCAATTTTTCGGAAATTAGTAGTTTTCGCCTAATTTTGCGTGAAATATAGTCAATTTTTAAACAACTATTTTCTCAAAGAGACACCAATTACTTCTTGAAACTCACCAATTTTCTCCTCGTATGTATCAAAGGCTGTATAAAGTGTTTCATATTCGGCAAACTCTGTATTTTAGAGAATTGTAAATAATTAGTACTGCAAAAGTACAATATTGAAGACGAATTTTTTTCTCTTAGATCCAATTTATTCTGAACTAAAGGTGCTACAGAATGGCACAGACTCTCGTATTAGTTTTCTATTTTCTTTGTTGTGGGCTAGCTGGCCAAAATATTTTTTTGAACTTGTCTCAATATTACGGTTACCGAATAGTAGAACGTCGATATTATTTTAAGAATATTAAAGAACAGTAAAACCTCGTCCTAAAAGGCAATTTTCATTGAAAAATTTTGAGCCGTTTAAAGAAATTGGCGTTTTAGGCACTACTGTAAATTCGAAATTTGAAGCTCTTTTTTTACAGAAAACTATTGAGTTTTCGAAAAACTTCATTAAAAGACATTTGAAGCACTTTTCCTCCCAAATGCATCAGTGTTTACAAATGGCTGGAAATGTGCGTATTAATGGCGTGAGAGATCTTTCAAAACAATATTAATAAATATATATATATAAAATTATAATAAGTAATAATAAAATTTGTTTAATTTTTGAAAAAAACAAAACAAAAAATACCCCCAAATAAACTTAACGTCATATTGAAGAGTTCAATTAGCACTATCCGTTCGCAAAGTTTGGTAAAATATTGAACCGTTTATGATAAAATGGCGTTTGAGCTTTTTTGAAAATGCGGAATTTTGAGCTAATTTTCACAGAAAACGGTTGCGTTTTCGAGAAACTTTGACATTATTTAAAGCACATGTACCGATAAATATAATAATGTGAATAAATCGCCGCTAATGTAAATATTAACGATGTGAGTGGCAAGTAAAAAAAATACATATTCAAACTAAAATTCAATTACAAAATATTTAATTATTATATATTACGTTAAAAGTGTTAAAGAAGAGTTTAACCTTTTTCTAAATGCCAATTTTCATTTAAATATTTGGAGCCTTTCCTAAGAAAATTACGTTTAAGTGTTACTGTAAATGCGAAATTTGAATATCCTTTTCACATCAATTATTTGAGTTTTTGATATCATCTGAAATAATTTCTTTCATTCTGAAATCAACACTTTTTCGGTATCAGGAGAACCTAGAACCTGTATTTCTGTTGAAATCTCAAAATCGATTTTCCGCAGAATCATATAGGTTTCTGTATACTACGTATAATACTCTGTATATTTGTGCGTAAATAAGAAAGTAAACATTAGCACTTTAAAAAATTTCCCGCGCCACTTTTGCTAAAATCTTTCAGGAGTTATCACGTTGGAATACAATGGGAACGCCGCGACACAGCAGTCTGAAATTCTCAGAATAACTTCTCATTGTTTGGCGAACTTCTTGTTTGTATGAAACCGAGTTTGCATTGTTGAATTTGTGTTGATGTATAACCCTTAAAAGACTGAAATTTTTTCAAGTAATGCAAATTTGATAATGAACTTTTTTAGTCAAGAATGATATTGTGTTAATAGGGGCAAAAATTGTGGTATCGTCATTTTACGTAACAGTCCCTGACTCGATAAAGCACGTATTCTTGTTTATGCTCCAATAGTTATAATATCGTGTACTTATTTAGATTTTATACTATCGAACGTTTCAAAAGGCACAGTATATATAAAATGTGTACTTTGCTACTACTGAGGAGCTTAAAAGAGAAATTGATATATGGTTGAAGTTTATTGATTAATTGATTGATTCATTCTGACCTACATGCCAGCCTTCAAGTTTTCCCCTTCAGGTATCTCCCATTGCAAGGTACCGTGCAAGGTACCATTGCAAGCACTGAGAGCCTCACTGGTCTTCCGATATATGCAGCTATGTAATTCACGTGTAACTATTCGTGTGTAAACGGAAAGGTGAGGGCAAGAGTGAGACAGCGAAGATCGCGCGCAGTCTTTTGATTATTTGTCAGGTACATAGACACCACGGAAAACAAATCCAAGCAACCGGGCTGCTCGAATTCTCCTCCAGAAAACGGCCGAATTCGTCCCAGAACCTGTGTCGAAAAGCCGCCACCGTTGAGACTGGGAGCATTAGACCTCCCGACCAAAGAGGCGTTATTGTTGCCCCGAGCCAACTCTGCTAACGGCTTGTTGTTGGGAAACACGAGCGGCGCTAGACGGCACCTGCACGAGGAGGCCGAGGCAGGCCACTTGTCCGTGTTCGGCGGCCACGTGCAGCAGCGTGCGGCCGCGGGCGTCGCGCGAGTGCACGAAGTGGCGGCCCTCCACCAGCAGGCCACGCAGCGCCTCGGCGTCGCCCTCCTCCACCGCCGCCACCA